TATTTTATTTATATGTACCTTTTAAAATAAATATTACACCGCACCGACCCTGAATAAAAAATTAGGATAAAGGTAGGTAGTTGATGACTAAGTGTTTATCTATGCAATAAGTATTGAGGTAAATAAAATATGAAATAAAGAGGGTTATCTGGACGGCCCGAGCTAGATACATGACTAAAGTAATAAGCAATCTTTTAAACCCCACTAATAGGAAATCTTTAAAGATAACACGTTATTGTAAAACAAGCTTGTCATTTATTATCATTCTCGTACCTGACTAACAAAATCTCTTCTTTATTTTTTAAATAATACAACGAAAAATTCGCAAAGGCAAAGCACCTGCTCACGTGACCATTCATTTCAATTTCAAATCGTCTTTTTTTTATGCAACTTAGAATGGCAAACAAGTTGATTGTCCACCTGATGGAAAGTGGTAACAGTCGCCTATAGACATGAGCAATACCATGGACATAATAGAGTATACCGTTTCGCCCATGATACCCCCCATGCGTTGCCATTCCTGAGGACTCAGGTGTTATTCCACTATATCCTGTAAATTCACTGCCATATCGCACCCTTCAAACCAAAACACAGCCATGCAAACACAACTGCTTCACGGTAGAAACACGAATGGGACAAAGGTAACCAAGCAAACTCTGGTAAATAATCTTTATTCAAATAGACTTTTAAATCGTTAATATTTTTTTTAATTTACTGCAGGCTTCGTAAAGTTCTGTTGGGAAGAGCCCGCAAGAAACTCAACAGTTACTCTTTTAAATCACTGTTAACATTATGTGTATTTATTTAAATGTACTATGTCTAAAATTACATGGTCGTTGAAAGCTCTTGCATGATCAATCAACCCCATGCACGCTTGTCATTCAAGTAATCGTTTAGTGTGTAATAAGCTTTGTTCAATAAATGTTTTTTACCAGTTTTAAACTTATTAAAAGGTAGATTCAAAATACCTATTATCATTACCTGACCAACAAAATCGCCTCCTTATCAATTAACACGTGTATTCCTTCCTCTATTTATTCTATATAACATTTCTCCTGCGACCTTTCATCTACATTATTACTGTTGTTATAAACATATAATAAATCAGCATGGACAAATGATAAGACAATTACTTATTACTATTGTTTCTTTCCACCCAAAAGCGCTGGGGTTATCTAAAAAATATATATATATATATATATATATATATATATATATATATATATATATAATATATATATATATATAATATTTCTACACACAACATAATATACGTACTCGTAATAAAACTAATAATAATTTTACCAGATGGAGACTTTGTACAAAAGTCGATTGCTTGGGTACCTCTGTCCCATTCGTGTTTCTACCGTGAAGCAGTTGTGTTTGCATGGCTGTGTTTCGGTTTGAAGGGTGGGATATGGCGTGAATTTACAGGGTACAGAGGAATAACACCTGAGTCCTCAGGAATGGCAACGCATGGGGCGTGTCGTGGGCGAAACAGTATACTCTGTTATGTACATGACACTGCTCATGTCTATAGGCGACAATTACCACTTTCAATCAGGTGGGCCGTCAGCTTGTTTGCCATTCTAAGTTGTATAAAAAAACAGGCCTGGAAAGTGTAAATTTGAAAGAAATAAAAATACTATATTTACTAACATATTTTATATAGACATTACAAAAGTTTACGATAAAAACAAAGTTTTGTCTCTAAAAAAGCTCTTATTCAGCATGTCTCGGGAGTCTTTACGGCTCACTAACAAATTGGTCTTTCGTAAGAGCTTATACAAACAGTAATTGTTAAGTAGTTGTAAAAGAGTAATTGAGTTTCTTGCAGGCAGATAACAATTTTCCGAAGCCTGCAGTAGATTGTAAAATAATTGACGATTTTAAAGTGCTTATAAACATGATTTGAATTTGAATACAGAAAGTACTAGAGTAATTTGAGTAGTACATCCATAAAAATATCAAATATTCGACGAATTGTGGGTGGACATGTCGAATGTCACGTTTACCACAACGGAAATTGTCGACAAAGTAAATGCCACTGGCCACCTTATCGTAGATTACTAGTTAGGGAGTTTAAAGGGGTATTTTTAGCATTTTTTTTTTATAAACTCTGTTAGATCGATCTCCTCGTCTTCCTCCCTGGTAATCATCGCGGTTATTTCTTCACATTCACCATTCACTTCACGATTTTATACTCGCATATCATAATTCACTGTTGCTTACGTGTACCGATAACGCAAACGGGGTTACCATACCATTTTCATTGCTTAAAAAACAACTTATTAGGAATTACAGTTTATTAGGAATTAAAGGGATTGTTAGTAATGGAGACTGAGAATTCTATTGCTAGCAATATACCTAAACAGGTCTACCTCCTTATGGTTCCCCCTGGAAAGTATCATGGTTAATTCCTGATGGATTCATCATGATGGGCTAACTGACCTATTATCACCCTCATCTATCACCTTTCAGTGGTACTCCGCCAGCTTATCCCGTTAGCGCAGGCGGGGTAACCATACCATTTTCACCCATCAAAAAAAAATACAAGGGAGATAGTTGGTAGGGGCATGTGGAACTGGCCTAAAAATAGACACGAGTACAGCTTCTTGATGGAAAAAACACGAGTGGAACAGATATATACCCACATATTGTATAATTTAAGATTTTGTTTCACAAAAGTAACATCGACTTTATTTATGGTAAAACTATTATTTTGGTTTAAAAAATAAACTACTGGACCGATTTTGATAAAAATTTTATGATACTAATCTGAAAGAATACAAATCCTTATTAATATCATAATTGTGAAATTGCGTTTATTTGTTTGAAAATATATCCTTTCAGAAGAAAATTGAATTTTCCAAATTGATTTATAAATGACGAAGTAGTGAGGTAACAAACAGAAAAACATAAAAAACACAACAAATTGAAGATCTCCTCCTTTCTTTAAAGACGGTTGAGAAGCAGATGACTTTTGTACATAGTTATTGGACAAAAAACAGAGGGATTTTGTATTTCTGTACATTTGTATTAATACAAGTAAAGTTAAAAGGTAAGGTAAGGTAAAAATTAAAAACCGGCGTATTTTTTAAATGGAATTTATAATACTTTCTTTCTTTCTTCATTCTTTATTGTACACAAACATAATGTTCTATCTATCCTTTATAAGAGTTGCGTTCTTGTCGGTGGAGCTCTTGCCACTCGCTACGATTTACAGCGAGTCTCTTCACCTCTTGATACGACACGACGCCAACTCCTTCCTTGACCTGCCTGATGTAACTATGTCTCGGTCTCCCTCTTCCCCTTCTTCCTTCTATCTTACCTTCTATTATAATGTTCATAAGTTCGTCGTGTCGTATCAAGTGTCCCAACATAATGTTAAGAACAGTTAATTTTAAACGTAATGTACAAAGGCGAGCTTTACCTCTAATAAGAGATTTCTTCCAGCAAACCTTTTCAAGTGGATTAAATTGTTATTTAAAAATAAAAATGCTATATAGAAATTATGATTTACCCTAAGTATATTTACAAATTCAAATAAAGACTACTGAATTCCACGCGAATGAGTCCGCAGGCATAGGCTAGTCATCAAATAAACTGCTAACTATGAACTCATCAACCGAGTGCTTCCTTAGTTTGCTATATCTCCAAGCCTGTCCATTCGCTGTATGCCATTATGATAGGAGAGTAGAATGGAATATTTCATAACAAAATTTTCCTTTGTTTTAGCAGAGACATGGACAACCTACTTCTAAATTAGGTAAAAACAAACTGATAACAAAATAAAACCAAAAAAAGCACTACATTGGATAAGATAATGACAATAATAACTTAGTTGTACATAGCGTAACTTGATGTAACTTAGTCCATATTAATGTACTTATATTGTTGTCATTTAAACTATTGATTTGCCACTGAATCGTCTCACAGTCGAGTGTTTTTTTTTCTAATAAATTTTCTAATACCTTTTGTGAAAATAGAGAGGATAGTTAGAAATGGGGACTAATGTCTCCACTGCTAACAATCTTACTAGATCGACGTCTACATACTTCCTCGTCCCCCTTTTCCACCATCGCGGTTAATTTCTCGTGGATTCATGGCATTAAACAGGCTGATGTGACTTCACCTTCACCTATAATCTGTCTCTGATATTGTTGTTTCATTTTAATTTATTAAAATTGCACCTTTTACAAGTAAATAATAGAAAAAAACTATTAGCTAATAAAAGCACAAATGTAACGAAATATATCGTTATAATGGCAACATTCGACTAATACCTCTGACTACCCCTTCAAGAATTATAGTCGTGAGCATATAAAGGTATATACATATAAAAATGTCTTGACTTATTTCTGTGTGGTCCCGGCATAGAATGGGCCACCCCTTTTTCACTCTGGGTGTCATAAGAGGTGACTAAGGGAACTTAATAAAAAGAATCTCTCTCACTTCTCTTATTTAAATCTCTTAAAACATCACCAAAATATAATAGCAATTGCCAAAACGCCTGCCAAGTATGGCAACCAGTGGTAGAACCCCCAATAGATATGATGGATATATATATATATATATATATATATATATATATATATATATATATATATATATATATATATATATATATATATATATATATATATATATATATATATATATATATATATATTCGAATCAACTGACATTACTAGATCTACGCTACTATTATTTTCCTTTCTTAGTTTAGACATTAATCGATCAATTGAAAACCTGTAAAAAGTATGGATCGGTTACAGCTGAAATGAATTTACTATCGCTAACTCTCAAGTCTATCGCTAACTCTGTACAGACCATTGTTGCAACAGCAAACTTTTCAATTCAAGAAACAAATTCCACAACCTTTGTTTCTACAAAAGCAAACATTATCAACTGACAAACGGTCTTATTAAATTTTATATAGCTCGAATTTTATTGGTTGATTGTCCGGACAGCATGCATATAAGGGAGTGCGCACGGATTCGTTTCGCATTTGCCTTCTTGGGGAGGTACAAGCAACACGTCATAGTATTGTAGCATTAAGTACATATAAACAGACTGAATTAGTGTTACTTTAGCCCCTGTCAAAATGGGGACGAGTAGTATTAGGTTAACATTTTTTAGTGTTTTATTAATTTCCGTTTTATGGAAACCAGCCTATACAGATGGTGAGTTCGTTTTATTTTATTTTTTGTTTATTTTGCTCAAAATAATAATTTTTATTTTTTGTTTATTTAATTCATTTAATATATTATCGTATTGTCTTTAATATTATTGATAATTTAATTGAAATGTTTTTTTTTTTATGTATTGTTTTTTTTAAACATATTACTAGACAAATTTAATTTAATGTGATATATCAAGAATTTTACAATATTTAATGTAATGTTTATTTTTGTATCTGATAACGTAAATTATAACACAAATTAAATTAATGTGAGTGACCATTAGTGAAGCCAGGAACTAATTAAATATAAAAATATTTTATATAAATAAACATACGAATAAATACGACAAATTTGGCTGTATTGTGTACATTATTACATATAACACTATTCTCATGCAACGTATTTACACTTATAATATTAATAGTTTGTATTTATTGTAGATATTGTTCTTAAATCAACAAAAGGACTTTGTGATATCATTTATATAAATATTTTATTATATTGGTAGATTAAATATTTAAATTTATTGACATTAATGCTCCTTTCCATTTTGGATGTTGCTGGAAGAGAACTCTTTTAGAGTTAGCTCTAAAAGAGTTCTCTTCAGAGCTTAGGCTCGCCTTTGTACATTTACTTACCACTGTCCTATTTTTATCTATTATTAGTGTATACAATAAAGTATAAATATATAAATAAATTATATTATAGTCATCTATAAAAATATATTAGAATAGAAATTGCCAAAAATTTTAAACAGTTGAAAGTCAATACTATTTTTTCCTAAATATATCCTGGAATGATTATGGTCATTGCATATGCTTGTTGTTGTAATATACCATATATGTATGGTATATTACAACAACAAGCATTTTACAACCCATTGATGTCCCAATATTCTGTCTAAATCTCCTATTTCAACGCGGCTCAGTATAAAGCTATATGTATTTGGTTAATTCTTTCTCGTACAGCGGTTTATGGTGTTATATTTTATTTAGTCGCCTCTTACGCATCCTGAGAGAATTGTCGGGACCCAGGACACATCGTTTGTCATCATACAAATACATTATTTACAATTTATTTTAGGATTTTTCTTGCCAGTATACTTAAAACATAACACATCGGTACACCGAATTTTATCTTAATTAAATATCAAGAACTGCTTGAGAAAATAAATATTAATTTAAACCGAAACGACATTTAAACAAAATATACAAAATAATTGGGAATATTAATTGTTATAATGTTTTATATAAAGTGATTGATTAAAAAAAATGTAACATTATTAATTCTTAAATTAATTTGCAAATAAGACATTTTCATAACTGTCATAAAATATTATCTATAATTGAAGTAGTTTATTTTTCGAACTACCCATACGATATTTTACATAATAATTACAGGTACCCTGTATTCATACAAAAATTAAATAAATTGTAATTTAATGATATTATTATTATGAATTAAAATACAATTCACAGATTTATTCCGTGCTTCAATTTACTCAGAGACTTTTTAAATGTAATACTTAACAATTACACTCTGAAAAATGAGTAGATAAGACTTACTTATACAGTTACATCAAAACTATGGTATGTTTAAAATGTGTATGACCGATCGAGAAGTATATGCTTTAGGTTTATTATCAACAGAGTTTATTAAGGCATACATTTTATTTTGCAATTTTTAAGTCAATTTGACTGAAAATCCACATTTTTTTTATTATTTCTAATCTATTTTAAAAAGAAGGAGATTGTCAATTTGGTTGTACTTTTTTTTTGTATTTTTTTAAAAATTCTTGATTTTATCTGAATATTTTTTTACAATTCGTATATTTACAATTCGTATATGTTTGTTTTAGTTGTATTATTTTTGTACCTGTACCTTTCCTGCAAAAGATTACCAGCTAACTATTTTTTTTCTCTCTAACTGCACTGGGTTGGCTGGAAGAGATCTCTTTTATAGATAAGCCCTCCGTTGCTAACAAGTTGTTAAACTAATCGCTGTATCTTGCTTTCAAGTGCAAGAAAAAATAACTATATAATATTCTGCACCGAAGAATAATTTTTACAAAAAAATTAACATAAATAGTAATTTAATTCTATTTGATGCATAAAATTAATTGTCAAATGTTGTCCAAAACATCCGGAATCAGTACTGTCTGTAAATAACTTGAACAAATGAAACGTCTAATCTAATAAAGCATATCTGGCAACGAAGATAGCAACCGAAAAGTGTCAGAGACCACAATAAAAGTTGAGAATAGAGGGACTTGTTACAAACTCTCTTGACAATCTTTATAATCTGTATCATTCTTTGAAGGGAACAAAGAAGCGAATTCATTCATTCATTCACTTGCAATGATAAATTTGTTATAGAAGCGCTTCCAGTTAGTTATTAAACGTTCGTGTAACTTTGTATCTGAGTCTATGATCTTTTCTTTATTAATTTTTTTTTATGCAACTTAGAATGGCATACAAGCTGACGGCCCACCTGATGGAAAGTGGTAACCGTCACCTACAGACATGAGCAGTACCATGGACATAACAGAGTATACTGTTTCGCCCATGATACCCCCATGCGTTGCCATTCCTGAGGACTCGGATGTTATTCCTCTGTACCCAGTAAATTCACGCCATATCCCACCCTTCAAACCGAAACACAGCCATGCAAACACAACACAGGGACAGAGGTGTCCAAGCAATCGACTTTTGTACAAAGTCTCCCTCTGGTAATTTAATGAGTGGTAATGGATGGTAATCCTGCGCTATTGGTATTCGCTGACAGGGCACCAGTGAGGGATGATAGGTGATGATGAAACGGCTTGTTGGCCCATAATGACAAATCCATAAAGGAGTAACTATGATGGTTTCCAGGGGAAACCTTTTGGAGGTTACTCTGATAAAGTATATTGCCAGCAATGGAGCTGTTAGATTCCCATCACTAACAAACAGATTCCCCCTGCGTCTATTTCGGCTGTGTTACTCATCAGGTATAGTCCCAAAGTTTTGGAAGACTGCTCTAGTACATCCGATCCTTAAAAAGGGAGATCGCTCAGATCTAGCTTACTATAGGCCCATAGCTATCACTTCCTTATTCTCAAAGGTTATGTAATCCATTATTAACCGTTAACTGCTCTGGTACCTAGAAGAGCACCGGCTGATCTGTGATCGCTTTCAACAGGAACGTTTGGCCGGTGATCTTTTAGCTTACTTAACTCACCAGAGGGAGACTTTGTATGATTGCTGTGGTGTTAATATAATTTTTAATGGATAATAATGGTATGATAACCCCGCATGCGCTAACGGTATACGCTGGCGGGGCACCAGTGATAGATGATAGGTGAGGATGAAAAGGCAGGTCAGTTAGCCCACCGTGATGAATACTCTTGGAATTCAGCACGATGGTTTCCAGGGGAAACCACGGGGAGGTCGACCTGTTAGGGTATATTATTAGCAATGGAACTGATTATCCGCATTACTAACAATCACTTCTCCCCCTATGGTGTTAATATAATTTTTGATATGTAATAGAAAATATAACCTTATTCACTGCTTTTTTTTTTGTTTTTAATATGATATCAGGACAATTGTGAGCTCTGGAAATAGGCTTTCAAGAAAAAACATGGGTTCAGAAATAGTTTACCATTACCCACGCAGTTACGTTAGCATACTATATACCTGATGTAAAGGAATGGTCTAACTATAAAATTATTATGTTAAAAAAATCCAACATCCGTAGTGACACCATCAGGCGGGTCGTATACGTATTTGCCACTACCGTATCTTAAATAATTCTGGTCCAAATAACGACTACCAGTTCCATTGAACTGTTGATAAGCTAATATTACAAAACAGGAATTTTTCACGCTATTGTCAACAAGACGAAGTCGTCGTATTTTTTAACACTTATCACGCAGGGAGGTCACAAAACACGAGACCTCACAATCGGCTATATGTTTAAAATTGGAGGGAGCGAAGAATGTAACTGTAGGTGTATATTTATAGCTTGCAACAATCACTGATAATTTCTCAACTCTGCCCTTTTTGATAGTGTACTATCGTTCTGTCGCCATGCATAATAATAAAAAATCAATTAATTAGATACCTATTTTCCTTTTAAAATAAAAATACATAACACAGTTACATAATTTGTAATACTTGAATAATAATAAAGATATAGTTTCCTTTAATAATTAATAGGTTAAAAAAATATTTGTTTTTTTTTAATGCATTTGAATGGCAAACAAGCTGAAAGCCCATTCGTATTTAAAGCGTGAAGCGGTTGTGTTTGCATGGCTGTGTTGCGGTTTGAAGGGTGAGGTATGACAGTGAATTTACTGGATACAGAGGAATAACACCTGAGTCCTCAGGAATGGCAACGCATGGGGGGTCACATGGGCGAAACAGTATACTCTGTTATGTCCATGGTACTGCTCATGTCTATAGGCGACGGTTATTACGGACTATTATATGCCGGGACCACATGGGAACTTAACATATAAGATATTTAATACAATTATATGAAGAAAACCCATGGAAAGCAATGGTAATAGTATAATGATTGCAAAGCACTGAATCCTTTATCTAAAAGTCAATCCAAACACATAAATAAATAAACCCCGAATTTAATGAAATTTAATGAAATTTCTCATAATGGCCCCTGAGGAAATTTCATTAAATGATTTATTTAACGCAATTTCTCATTTATATACAAATCACCTATTTACAACTTGATCCGTTCAAGCGGAATATGTTGACTGACTATTATAAAAAGTAGTCTGTTTATTTTCATTTCAAATACTATGTTATACACCAAAATTTATGACGATCGGTCGAGCCGTTCAGGCGCCAAGAAATAACAAATAAACAAACTCACTTTCACATTTGTCATCAGAGAGCAATCTCTTATACGTAGAATTCGGAAAATGCTCTTTTTTAGTTTATTGCTTATTTTTTTTTATTTTAAATATAAATCATTATACGTATAGACATACAATAACT